AAAATTTCTGTAAGTTATTATTGAGACTCTTTTGTTGTCCCTTCCTGCTTGCCCAGATATTTATCATTAAACTCCTTTTTGTTATCCTTTCTCATCTGCTTCTACAATTTATGGCCAGGAGCTAAGTCTCCTCTTAAATAATCTTTTTCATTCCTTCTTCTGCTTGCTCCAGAAATTTTCCTCCAAAAATGAAATGATAGTGATAGATATGTTTCCCTTAGAATAATACCAAAGCACCCCACAACAGAGGCTAGTGCCAAAAATATCTCTGAAATATTGATAAAATTAGGTTAGCATATATGGGCTATATCCACTGACCAGAGTTCCTGGGGAAGAGAAAATACTGTAAAAATTCTTCAAATACAAGTATATATGTCCTTTCCTTAAATAAGCCATCTGTTGTCTCTAGTAAAAGAGGCAATGTGAGAAGTTAATAATCTCAATCTCCTATGTACAAGTACATAATTAAATTATTGCTGTTCCACTCTACCAGTCTCTAATATTAGTTTTCAGATGCAAGCAGCATATCCTCAGCTTTTGGCAATATCAGTAATTCTGTAAAACAAATTGAAATGCCCTATATTGTTTCCAAGGTTATAAATCTTTAGGTTGCCACATCTTTTTCTTAAGACGTGCCTGGTGTGTTCAAACTACCAACCTTAAGCACAGCACAAGCAGGACTTCTAGAAGTAATTACAGAGGTTTTTTTCTGAAGAAAATTATAATAGCTATTAGCAAAATGATAACGGCTATGTCACTTTTCCCCCTTGTTACACATATAAAGAATTTTTCATGCATTTTCAAGTGATTTGCAGACTCCCAACCTAAGAATTCATCCAAATATATCTTGAAATCTCTTAGACCCTAGTTTAAAAACATCAGTTGTAAAGTCAGTATTTCTTCAGCAATTAAGAAGACATGGGAAAAGAGTTAGATCATAAAGAGTCAAAGAGAAGATCAATATTAACAGGACAAGAAGAAACAGAAAAAGTAAAATTTACTAAAATTTTTTTAAAAAAAGATAGGATTCCCAGGGCCAGAGAGACCTAGAACCAAGAGCTTCCTAAAGAAAATGGACTCTCAAGCAAGTGCAGATTCTAAAATCTCAACACAAACAATATTTGACCTACACAGTTTTTACACTCATGTACCTTCTGAGAACTAAACTTTTAAAGTCACTGAAAGAACTAACTAGAAATGCCAAATAAAATCATTGTTTTAAGAAGATATAGCTAACCCTAACAATTGATAGTAGAGAAAGGGACCCAATAGGAGACAAATCTGTGTATACAGGAGTTACTATAGTCTTAGAACTGAGGCTAAAAAGAGAAAAGAAGACTAAAGATACTAGTCCTATATTGGCCCAAGGTCCTCTGAAAGAGGACCAGCCAGACTGGGACAGACACCCAGAGGGCTGAGAGGTAGAAGGTCACAGAAATGTGTCACTTACCCGCATACAGTTGGGCCTTTCTCCAGGCTGAAACAAAACATACCTTTAGTGAGATTGAAGTCGAAATCATCTTATATCAACTGATCACCACCCTTTATCTGTCCTTAAAGGACCTGTTCAGAGAGAGAGATGCTGGAAGAGAGATGAATTTATACAGTGTGCAGAAATGTCTTAGAATAGTGAAAACTCTCATGACTAGCATGATGGGAAGTTGGGATTGGTGTTCAAGTTACACACTGTCTTGCTGTTATTACAGAAATTTGAGCAAATCATGTAGCTGTTCTATTCTTCAAGAACTCCTTTATGACTGCATTCCACTAAGAATAAAAATGTATCTGTGAAGACATTTTGGAGAAAACAGGGAAATTATTATATAACTATAAAAATTATTGTTATATCTAGTCTTTTTCTGACATACATCTAGAATATTACCGGAAAAGGGAAATGAAGGATAAAGATATGGAACCAACAACAGAGAGAAAGAAGTCAATGAGTTTTTTGGGAGGAAAAGATTTCTAGAGAGAGTAGCACTTCCAGACCCAGTTTCTATTAGCGTATTTCCCTGGACACATATCTCTGTTGTTTCCTCATCTCTTCTCCATCCACACCTTCAGAACCTGGAAAGGACTATCTCTTCCAGAGAGGTTTCTTAAATAGCAAGTCACACCTGTAAGCTTAACGACCACATACATGGTGCCACATGGTGCTTAATGGCCACATGGATCACATGTGGTTCCTTAAACAAATTCCTAAGCAGCTTCCTTTTAACTTCCAGGTATAAAATGAGAGATGGCTGCACTGAAGGCTACAAAACACTAAGGTATACTGGCCAGATTTGGATACCTGACAGATTCCAGACTTACAGTGCTGAACAAGAAACAAATGGCCAGATCTTTGAAAACAACAAGAGCAGGACTCTCCCCTACCACCCTCTCCATCTAATCCCAGGAAAAGGGGTCTTAGTTTCTATGTCAGGGAGGTACAAAGGGTACAGATAAGATGGGAGAATCAAGGGTATCTAGACAGTCACTCACCAGTCCGGTAAATCTCCTTCCTCCAATCTAAAAGGCAAAACACGGGAAATAGAATAATTTGCAAACCAGAAGCTATAAATTCACCCACATACATAGCAGAGCCAACAGGGAGCAAAGTGTTGTACGTTTCTTAATCATAACCTAATGCCCTCAGGAAATGAGGTGCTATTTCTGGAGCCTAGAGACCATAATCTTAAAGAACACAAAGGTCAATTGACATGACAGTACACAAAGACAATGTTCTACAGCTTACTTTTGTAATGTGTAATTGAGGTCTTAAAAGCTTTTAAATAGTCATCTAAAGTGGAATTATTGGTCTTTCCCTCTCCATTACAAAAAAAGAGAGGACCAAAAGTAAAAATGCATGAAAACAATTAGTCTAAGCAGATGAACCACAAAAATTTCCATTTTCATGACTTTGAAACTAAAAGAGCCAAGCCGATGGCCCCACCCACCACTGATGATGAGCACTCAGAGGGATCATTCTAGAAGTGAGGAATCAAGGGAGCACAATAAATATCATGGATAGAGTCTGCATGGATGAGGAAGGAGAAATATGGGTGAAAACCCTAAAAAACAGTGAGAAATCAGACTTAATAGTCCTACAAAGACTGGTAAAATCCCCCAAATAAAGGCATTTAGTCACTCTTCAACCCTGGAACAAAACTCATCACTGTGTTTCAACTTCCAGCAAATCAGTAAAAAATATATAAGGTGACAAATACCATCAGGAAGGCACTCACTCCAATACAGAGTCAAGAGATACACTTCCCAAGGGATAAATTCCAAAAGGCAGAGAGGAGTAAGATAGAATAATTACCAGAAATGAGAATTACAAAGGAGGAATAGGAAAAGTGATTTACAACATTGTAATAAATGTTACAAAACAAAATGTGTTTGAGGTAAAACAAATAGCCAGTTTGTAAACATTTATTCAAATAGTAATTATTTAAAAAATAAAAACAAAACAAATAAAAAAACCCAACCAGTCAAACAGAATGTCTTCCCCAGATAAGACAAAGAGGAAATATAAACTTACCAAGCTCTGCCTGAAGTTCATCTGAAAGGGGGAGGGAAAAAAACCCTCTGTGAACTATTACACTTAAGAAAGGCTAGTACATGAACCTGGAAAGCCTGAAATAAACCAAAACCCTCTCTGTTTTTGTCAACTGGAGAAATTTATCATTCCAGCCCCATCAGAGTCACGTATGAGCCCAGCTGTCCTATCCAGATCTCCTGAGCCTTCTGCTCTGGGAAGGCCCCTTAGATCTCCTTATAGGCTACTTCAGCCAGAGCTGGTCCTGTTGTAAGCTTTTCTTTCAGCACCAACTCTGCCTTACCTCTGATTTTCAGTGCTTCATCCTTTATCTGCTGGTCCTCCTCATTAGACTGCTCAAGATTTTTGCACTCCTTCTGCTCCAGTAACTTTGCTGAATGTTCTTTCATGATAAAATAGATAGCCCCAAAGATGGGGAGACATAATACACTTATACCCACAAGAAAAGCAGGTATCCAGGAAGAGACCTGTGGAAAGAAGGGCTCTATGACCGAGCCAAGGACCACATAAGGGCAAATCACATGGGAGCCATGACCAAGGTACTAACAGACCCTAGTTCCCTCTTTCAGGCCCTGCTGAGATCAAAGACATGCTTACCTGGAATGAAAATGGCCTTCGCCTTCTCTTGGCCTGAAACTGGGTTGTGGATGGAGCAAGTCACATTCCCTGAAGTCATGTCTCTCACCACCAGTGAGGCCTCTACTTGGAACAATCCTTCTGTGTCTTGGGCATGAACTTCTGAGAAGACCAGGAACTTCTTTCCACTAAGATCTCTCCACTGCACGAGAGGCTTTGGAAACCACCCAGAGCTCATGCAAACCACTTGGACTCCATCTTCTTCTGGTCCTTGGATTTTTACCTCAGGAACAGACCCCATACCTGTGGTACAGGAATTCTAAGATCTTAGGCAGTGTGAATCCTCAACCATCAAACTCAACTCATTGCCATCGAGTCAAAACCAACTCATAAGTGACACTCCAGCAGGTTTTCAGAGGCTGTAATCAAAAAGAGATTGCCCATTTTCCTACTATGGAGCAGCTTGTAGATTTGAACTGCCTGCCTTTGGGTTGGGAGTATAACTCCTTAGCCACTAGGCCACCAGAGCTCCAAGGACAGCTGTTGTGTGTATGGCTGAGGTAGAACCAACTTGTAGCTGACCCTTCAGCAGTTTTCCAGGGGCAGTAAATTACACACAGGAGGAGATTGTACATCTTTCATGAAGCAACTGTTGGATTCAAACCGAGTACCTTTGGGTTAGCAGAATAATTCCTTACCACTAAGTCATTAGGAAATCATTATTCTTACATTCTGGAGGTTCTATAGGAAGGCTATCCTTTATGGGGGTGGAGGGATAAAAAGTAGGGAGATATAAAGCAGGGTGGGAGAAACTTTAAGCCTTGGAAAGAACTATAGTGGTACTGTGGTTAAGTTATTCAACTACTAATCAGAAATTTGACACAGAACCATTTCAAGAAGTAGTGTATAATTAAGAACCAATGTTGATAACGGAAGAAGTTCAAGCTGCGATGAAGTAATAAATGGAATACCAATTAATGTATTTCAAACAACAGATACAGCCCTAGATGTGCTAACCAGATTGTGCCAAGAAATCTGGAGGGCTGCTACCTGACTAGCCACCTGGAAGGAATCTACATTTATTCCCATTCAAAAAAAAGGTGATCCAACAGAAGGGGAAATAATAAAATAATATCATTAATATCACACACAAGCAAAGTCGTGCTGAAGATTATCCCAAAACAAAAACAGGACACTAACTAGAAATCATCAGAAATACAAGCTGGATCTAGAAGGGGCCCTAGGAATATCTTTGCTGACGTTAGATGGATCTTGACTGAAAGAAGAGAGTACCATAAGGGTGTCATTATAGTGAGTGAAGTATCTCAGCCACAAAAGGATAAATACCATAGTACCACTGTTATAAAGCAGGTCTGACATGGGGAGTTGGGAGGATAATAGTATAAGAGTGGATAGATAATGAACATTACATTGGCACAGATGAAGGAAAACTGTTTAAAAGGAATATATTGTTAGACATTATACATACAATAACATTCCAGAATAAGAGGTACATTGCAAAGAGAACTGTGGCAAGGAGGGAAGGGAAGTAATTATGCAACAATGAATAAATATTATTTAAAAAAAAAGTTAACTGGGGGAGAAAGGAAGGAGAGGGGTTAAAATGTGCAGCAATAAATGAATGGAAATCTAACCTTTCTGTAAACTTTACAATTAATGCTGCTCCTTGGAGGCAAGGATTCTGAAGCTCCATCTGCCATATTTTGGACATATTGCAGGGAGGGACCAATCCTTGGAGAGAAATATCATGCTTGGGAGCATGGAGGGTCAGCGCAGGAGAAGAACCTAGATGAGATAGGTTGATTCCGTCACTGGGGTAATAGGGATAGAAGTGTCAGAGACAATAAGATTGGCAAGAGATAGAGCAGGGTTTGGGGCTGTTGTACAAAGGGTCACTATGAGTCACAAGCAACTCAATGGCACATAACAACATCAATGTTTCATTGACTATGCAAGGTGTTTGGCTGTATGGATCATACTGTGTTCATGTGAAACCTATACTTAGATCAAGAAGCTGTTATGCAATCAGAGCAAGGGAGCAATGCATGGTTCAAAATCAAGGAAAGAATGCATCAAGGATATATTCTTTCTCCATACCTTTTCAATGACTATGATGAACAGATAATTTGAGAGCCTTGACTTTATGAAGAAGAATGTGGCTTCAGGATTGGAGGAAGATCCAACAACAACCTGAATTATGCAGATGACACAACCTTGCTCACTGAAACTGAGGAGCACTTAAACTGCTTGTTGCACAAGATCAAGGGCTGAAGCCTTCAATATGGATTGCATCTCAACATCAAGAAAACAAAAAGCCTCATCATTGGACCAAAAGGCAGCATCAAGATAGAGAAAAGATTGAAGTTGTTTATCATTTCATCTTGCTAAATTCCACAATCAACACCCATGGCACCAGCAGTAAGGAAGTCAAAAGATTAGTTGCACTGAAATAACCTGCCATCAAATGCTTCTCAAGATTGCTAAAGAGAAATAATGCCAGTCTAAAGACAGATGCACCTGATGCAGGCCATGGTCTTCTTTAATTGCTTGCTATGCCTTTAAGAGCTGGAAAATGACTAAAGATGACAGAATAATTGATACCTTTGAGTTGTGGGGCTAGAGAAGAGTAGTGAACATACCATTGACTTCCAAGAGAACAAACAGGTCAGTCCTAGAAGGGATGAAACCAACTGCTCCTTGGAGGCAAGAATTTTGAAACTCTGTCTCACATATTTTGGGCATGTTGTCTGCAAGAGGCAATCTTTGGAGAAAGATATTATGCTTGGAAGGGTAGAAGGTCAGCACAAAAAAACTCTATATGAGATGGATTGACAGTGACTATTGGAGACTAGGATTTTGAAGCTCCATCTTGCATACTTTGGGCATGTGGCCAGGAGAGACACATCATACTCGGAAGGATGGAAAGACAGCACAGGAAAGAAAGACCCCGGATGAGATGGATTAATACAGGAACTGGAGCAATGGGGGTTGTTGCATCAGAATTAATGAGACTGACTTAAGACAGGGAAGGTTTCAGAGCTGCTTTACATACGGTTGCTATGGGTTGCAGGTGACTCAGTGGCACATAGCAACAACAACATGGCAATGCAGACAGGTGTGTCAGAGACACTGGGGTTGGCTCAGGATAGAGCAAGATTCAGAGCCATTGTTCGTAGGGACTCTTTGAATCATAGTCAACTGGACAACACATAACAACATGCACTTTTATGCAACCATTCATTTGCTCAGTTTCATTCACATACGTTTTGTTTTCTATAGTCATTCTGTACATTTGCTTGCTTATAATGATTACTCATACAGATTTCAGCCGCAAAATCCCAATAGCTTACGCTTTTTTTTAATTAGACAAGAGTAACTTTATTTAAAAAGAACTATTTCAAGAAGAAGAGCAAAAAGGATTATGTGCAAGGTGGTTAAGTGACATTGCCATAGGAGGAAATTGTTATAACTGAAGTAGAGAGAAAGAGACCAGAAAGAACTCCAGCTCCTACTCCACTGAAACAGGGGACAGTGAGATTTTAGGATGTGGACTGAGTTAACCTAACTTAATGGGTTGCTTACCCAAATGTCAGCAGTTAGAATCCATCAGCTTCTCTGTAGGAGAAAGACAATCTCCTCCCATAAAAATTTAGTCTTCAAACACAAAGAAGGGTTACCATAAGTCAGAACTGATTAGACAGTAGTGAATGAGTGTAGTAAGCTCATAGATAAAATACTGAAATGTTGAAAGACATTCAAAAGAAATTAAGCTATAGGCAATATCAATCACAAGAATTGCTTTTTGCCTTTATTAATTAGACTAAATGGTCTCTGCAACATTATCTGCAGATTCTGCATGGTCAGGGAAGAGCAGAGATTAAGGCCCTGAGATACCATCGTTCAGAAGACAAAAGGGTGAGGATATCAACTCAGAACATTTGTCATATCACTTTATAAAGCACTCCCACTCTGATTCTCGCATAGGTCAAGTAACTTGTTTTTTATTAGTAAATGAAGTAAATTGGTAAATGTCATGAAAAAAAATTGAAAAGTATTTGTGAGCCTGCTGGAAGGTAAGACGCATGAAACAGTGCCTTGTCATCCTAGGCTTTTGAGCTGAAACAGTCTAAGATTAGCAAGCCCATCCTTGCCAAAAACCCCGACAAGTGTCACACAGTGACCATTTCAGCTAACCAGAAATCTTTTCACAGTTCAGGTTAGTTAAACCAGGTACAGATTAATTGTCTTTATAAATGCTCAAGTTAATTCTAATTGCATAGTTTTTAGTCATTTACACTGCTTTGCTTCTCCAGTGGTTTGAATTCACCAATGGCAACAAGGGAAAAAGATAAGCAGTTTCCTGCTGCTGTGATTTACAACCTTGTAAAAGCAATGGGGAGGGGTCACCATAAATCAGAACTGATTCAAAGGCATAGTTTGAGTTTCAGTAATAATGCTTAAGTTAAATAACTTTACTATTATATAACATAGAAGGGTTATGATTTATTGCTATACAGCATTATTATGATGATATGAAATTGATACAGAATTATCAATATGCTTACCACTAAACAGCAATAGCCAGTGGAAACTTCATGAGTCTATGTGGCTTCTACTTCCTCCATATTCCTAAATCCATTCACTCCCTTGAGTTTACTTCCTAAATGCTCTGATACCTGACTCCTCCTCTCCTATTCTACCACTGCTTCAGGGTTAGGCAGTCATCTATTCCACCTCTTTAACTGTACTCCACACTTCTAGTCTTTCTTCCTATCATTCTCCTTATACCTGTCAGAGGAAACATACCCTGCACTGTGCTGCTTAAATTTTCTTCAGCTCTGCTTCCACACTCTCTTGCAGCATGCAAAGCTTTCTCTGTTCTGGCATCTGCTTTCCCATTCTCACAAATCTCCTCAATTTCTACCACCTGTGCATCTCATGGTCCACATAATCTACCCGTGTGGTGGCAAGAGTTTATTGTTCAAAATTGTTTTCCTAGTCTTCCACTTTGGCTTTCACCACTTAGGTGAGAACTTAGAATAGGATGTGTATAAAATAATCATTAGGGAATTGTTCCGTTTTCCCCATCCCATGAAATTAAATTGAGCAGATTTAGTAGCAAAAGTGAGAATCTCACTACTAGGAAGAAAGAAGAAGCAGGGAGTGCAGCATGCCCATGCTTCAGAGCCAGAGATCTCTACCCCAGTCAATTCAGAATCTACATGAGAGCAGCAGCCTCAGAGAGAACAAGAGACTGACATGAGACAGAGCTGACTTGAGACTGCTATCCTGTGGAGTTAACCAAAGGTCTTCACTCTAGCTTTAAGAAGAACTGAGAGAAAATGACATAACTTAGAGCATGCAGCGAGTTTTGTAATACTAACCTAAGCCATGAAGCTAAATATCTAAGATTCTACAAAGCAAACTTGGGAAGTTGTATGGACTGAAGATATACTTAGAAGCTTCCTGGCTGAGGAATTGTAACCTACTGCCAACCTGGATTATAAACTATTAACTACCATTTAAAAAAAAAAAAAAAAACCACAACACTTAAAACTGTGATTATAGTTCTATGAGATCTGTGTTGTTCTTGCAACATATTTTGCACGCAGAAGAGTAGTAATAGTTGTACTGGAATTAGTAGAAGTAGGTAGAGAGTGGGAGACCATGTCTGAGTTTACATGGTTTGTTTATGGGCACAGTTCCTCTTACGGGAGAACTCTTAGGAGAGGTCAGATATAACCATCTCTGTACTGTCTACACTCTGTACAAATTGCAAGGAATATTTGATTAATTACTATTAACTATGATCTTGCAATATGTGCTCATACTTTTTTTTTCAAGTTCAGTCCCTCAAACTTGAACGTTATTTGGAATCATTCTTATGAATGCTGGCAACAGTTTAAGGATCTGCACTCTAAGACACTTTCCCTGTTCACCACACACTCTTATCCTTAGTGAAACCTATACCAGGAATAATTTCTATTAAGTATTGACCTCTGTTACCATCTTATCCCTCATTTACTTCTGTAGGTTGTAAGATCTTTGTGTGCCCAGAACACATCAGTCACACTACCAACTAGGGAATTTATGTTGCTATGTGCTTATAATTCTTATCTTCTAGATACACACTTGTGGCATAGTTCATAAGGAATTGTACCTCTAACTCAATGAGGTTGCCCATTCAACAGATTTGTTTGTTTGCTTGTTTGTTTGTTTTAAGTAATTCAGCAGTTTTAATCTACCAGTCACTCTTTGAGAAAAAGTTGGGCAATATCTTGCCTTAAGGTATGCAGCCTCTGAAACCTGCAGGAGAACCAGCTAAGAATTGGTTCCACTTGACAGAAATGAGAAAAAGAGACAGACACACACAATTAGTCAGATCCTTACTGTGTCAAGCTTTTGTCCATACACTACATTTTCAATAAGGGCTAGCCTAGACCCCATTCCAGTCCCATCCTCACATACTGATGTTGTTACCCATTGTATTTTGCCTTTTAACCTCAAAACGTGTCATTTTCTAATTATAACCTATAATCTGTTTATCATGGTTTATCTATCTCTGCATTCAGAATATGAACTCCAAAGAGCATAGATCTCTGTTTCACTGATATATCTTTAGTGCCAAGAACAGGACCTGCTGCATACTAGGGGCTCTATTAATAGTGAATAGATTAATGAATGAAGGTTCTTTTCTGTACCTATAAAATAAGGGACTGAATTAAACCACCTGTGACTATAAACTTAGGACTCTAGGATGTCCAAGTCACCAACCTGACACTTTCAACTCCAAAGTGGCTGTACTATGGTAGCCTCCTTTTTTGAATAAGCAGGTATACAGTCCATCATCAGAAACCTGGACTTTGTCAATGAGTACAGCAGCCTCCCCAGATGTGAGCAAGTCCTTCACCATTGAGGTCCGCCCAGCATACTGAGGCATCTGCTCCTCCTTCTGCTCCTGCTGGTTTTGATAGACAAACACCACATCTGAGATCTGAGTACGAAACCATCGCAGCTCCATGTTCTCTGCATTCATGGCTGGATACAGGGAGCAGGGCAAGATGATGTTCCCACCAAGCTCTGCCACAATGGACTGTGAGGGGCTTTTCACCAGGAACTTCTCTGTGGACAAAGACAGTGAGAAATGAGAAGAGGCAAGATACAAAAGGATGTGGGCACACAGTATCAAAGGTACTAAGGCAGATGCTAATTGATGATCCTCAGTGCCTGAAGGACTGAGCATGAGAACTCTAAATCTTTGTGAGATCTTCTGGAGACAGCTTCATAGCCCCAGAATGGTTCCAGAGGGTACCCCCATCTTGTTCCCAAGGCCCTTCTGAGAAAGAAAACTCAGTGGCTACCAAATTTTAGCTAGGATCAGAAACACTAAGAGAGCGGCGCGGTGGGAGAGAGTCCGCCGCCGTGGTTCGGTGCTGTAACAGGCGGGAAGAGAGCGCGTCCTGGAGAGCCGAGCGCTCCAGCGACTCCCCTTGCCAGTGCCATGGCAGTCCCAGGTTGCAACAAGGACAATGTCAGAGCAGGCTGTAAAAAATGTGGCTACCCTGGTCATCTGACTTTTGAATGCCGCAATTTTCTCCGAGTAGACCCCAAGAGGGACATAGTTTTGGATGTTAGCAGCACTAGCAGTGAAGATAGTGACGAAGAGAATGAAGAACTGAATAAATTACAGGCATTACAAGAAAAAAGAATAAATGAAGAAGAAGAGAAGAAAACAAAAAGCAAAGAAAAACTCAAATTGAAAAAAAAACGAAAAAGGATTAGAGTACAAGTGTACATCTCTGTCTGCAACTAGAGGGTTCAAGGACTTTAACTTGAAAAATCAAGAGAATCAACAAAAGTCTTATTCCTCCACTTCCACTGAAGAGGACACTTCAAAACAAAAGAAACAAAAATATCAGAAGAAAGAAAAAAAAGAAAAGAACAAGAAGTCAAAAAAGGGAAAACATCACAAAAAAGAAAAAAAGAAGAGAAGAAAGGAAAAGCACTCTACCCCTTAACAGTTCTCAAATCTCCAAGAAGTAACTAAGACTTTAGCCTAAACAGTAAATGTGTAATTTGTTTTTTAAAATTCTTACCTTGGGATTTACTCCATAATAATTCTTTGCAATAAATCATAGTCCTTTCCACATAGAGATTTAAAAAAAAAAAAAGAAACACTAAGAGAGATTGTTAAATAGAAATTACTGAGCTCCATCCCCAAATCTTGTGATTCAGTAGGTCTGTAGCAGTCCTAGCTTCTCAGATAATTTATTCAGCAAACAGATTAAATTGGTACGGAGAGGGAATGCAATCCTGACGCACTCCCTTCTTAATTTTAAACCATGCAGTGTTCCTTTGCTCTGTTCACACAATAGCCTGTGGTAAATCCTCTGGGACTCCCATTCTTTTTGATGTCAGTCACAATGTTGTTAAGATCCAAGCAGTCAAATGCTTTTGTCAATTGACTTGTTTCAATTAACAGATGCAGCCTTGGAATGGCTCGCCAGTCTATGCCAGGAAATTTGGAGGGCAGCTGGCTTGCCACTGGAAGTGGTCCAATTTGCTTATTCCCAAGAAAGGTGATCCAACAGAATGTGCAAACTATCACATGCAAGCAAAATACTGCTGAAGATCATTCAAAAACAGCTAGAACAGTACCTAGATAGAGAACTGCCCAAGTTTAAGCAGGATTTAGAAGAGGTGTGGTACTGAGGATATCACTGCTGATATCAAATAGATTCTGATTGAAAGTAAGCTGTTATGGAAAACAAATTAATGGCTATTCAAAGATTACTATAATCCAAAATAAACAACTCAGTTGCCATAATAATGCAGAAGAGCACTAAAGCCTTTAATATGGATTACATCTAAATATAAAGAAAACAAAAGTTCTCATCACTGGACTGACAGGTAACATCATGATTGATTAAGAAAAAAAATTAAATTCTCAATTAGTTCACCTTACTTGAATCTACACTCACCATACTTGGTACCAGCTGTCAGGAGATCAGTAGACATATTTATTGGGAAAGCTGCAATTAGGGATCTCTCCAAATTACTGAGAAGCAACAATGTCAGACTGAGGACTAAAGTGTGCCTGATCAGGCCATGGTTTTTTCTATTACTTCCTGTGTATCTGAGAGCTGGACAATGAGTAGGGTTATTGGTATGCTAGAAGAATTGACCCCTTTGAGATGTTGAAGAAGAGTACTGAATATCCCATAGACAGTCAAAAGAACAAACACATGTCTTAGAGAAAGTGTAGCCAAAGTGCACAAAGAAGACAAAGCTTTGTGTCAAATATATTGGGCATGTTACTAGGAGAGGCTATTCCTTGGAAATGGACATCATGTTTAGAAAGGCGAAGGGTTGGAAAAAGAGGGGAAAACCAGATGTTTTGACCCAGTGACTGCTGTAACAGTCTCAAGTATGTAGAAAATGGTACTCTCTGCTTTAAGCCAAGATCTGATGTTAGCTATGATATCCCTAGAGCCACAGCCTATTCTAAATCCAGCTTATATATCTGATACTTTTCTGTTCCAGCCATTTTCTTTATAATATTGAGCAGGATTTTGCTTGTGTGTGATATTGTTCAATAGTTTCCCCACTATGTCAGTGTGAAAACATTTTTTGAATGGGGATAAATATGGATCTCTTCCAGTCAGTTGGCTAGGTAGTTGTCCTCCAGATTTCTTGACACAACTTGATGAGCACAACCAGGACAGCTTCTGTTTGTTGTAATATTTCAATTGCTATTCCATCAACTTCTGGGGCCTAATTTTTTGCCAATTCCTTCAGAGCAGTTTGAACTATGCTCATCATTACCTCATCTTTTCAAGTCCCATTTCCTTCATCCCTCTCCCTCCACCCACCAAATTGTGAAACTGTGATTTCCCCTGCCTACTTTCACCTTTCTTCTCCCGCCCTTTACCCCTTTGGACTTTCATACATGTATTACCTGCTATCCTTCTATTTTTATGGTCTTATGGTCTTATGCAGTATTTGTCCTTGTGAAACTGAGTTAGCTTACTCAGTATAGTGCTCTCCAGTCTCTTCCATGTTATGTAGTATTTTTCTAAATGATTGCACTTTAGTGCTATATAGTATTCTATTATGTGAATGTACCACAGTTTCTCAATCCATTCACTTTTTGTTGGATGTTTGAGCTGTTCCCATATTATTGGGATTGTTAATAATGCTGTTATGAACATCAACACACAAATATCCATCTGTGTCTCTGTTCTAATTTGCTTGGGATAAATTCCTAGCAATGGAATAGCTGAGTTAAATGAAATTTCTATGTTCAGCTTTTTGAGCCTATGGTGTAAATAGCTGACAAGTATATTTAGAAATGCACAACAAAGAGAGGAAAAAATTGATGAATGAAACTTTCTAAAGATTAAATCCCTGTACACACCAAAAACTTTTCTGATAGGGTGAAAGAATACCTACTGACTGGGGAAAAAAATATTCAGCAAGGACATCTCAGACAAGGATCTCATAACAAAAGTTTACAGAGTACTATAGGGCCTCCACAAGAAAAATACTGATAACCCAGTTACAAAATGGGCAAAATACATGGAAAGACTTTTCAAGGAAAAAGACATTCAGATGGCCAACAGACACAAGAAGACATGCTCAAAATCACTGGCAATCAAACAAATACAAACCAAAAGTTCAATGAGATATCATCTCACCCCAGTAGCAGCTGCAAAGTTTAACAGGTAAAGATAGACTATTGAAAGCAGCACAAGAAAAACAAAGAATAAACTACAAAGGAAAAACAATCAGATTAAGTTCTGATTTTTCAGCAGAAACCCTGTGAGCAAAAAAAACAATGGAATGCCATATACAGAAACTTGAAAGAAAAAAAAAAAATTGCCAACCCAAGATTCTGTACCCAGCAAAACTCTCCATCAAATATAAAATAGAAATCACATCCTTTGCAGAAAAGAAAGAACTTAAGAAATTTGTGAAAACAAGACCAAATCTACAAGAAATTTTAAGGGAAGTCCTTCACATAGAGACACCAAAAGAAAGTGAATGGACCATAGTAACAAGAAACAAAACAGAACAACAGCAACAACAAAAAACTCACAGCAAAATGGCAATGATAAAACCTGGCCTGTCAATAATCACATTTAATGTGAATGAAGTAAATGTACCAATCAAGAGAAAAAGAGTAACAAAATGGATAAAAAAATAAAACAAAGTCATCAATATATTATCTACAAGAGACACATCCAACAAACAAAGAGAAAGACTAAAATAATCAAAAACTGGAAAAAATGTAACAAGCAAATGGCATCCACAAAAGAAGCAGGAATGGCAATACAAATCTCTGATAAAATAGACTTCAGAATGAAAATCACCATAAAAGATAAAGAAGGACACTACATAATGATTAAAGACACAAGAGATCAAGAAAACATAACAATGGTCAACATCTATGCACCAAATGATACATCTGCTAAATACATAAAACTGTTAACAGAACTGAAGAAAGAAATAGACAGTATCACAATAGTGGAAGGAGACTTTGACACACTCTCACCAAAGGATGAGTCAACTCAAGAGAAATTTAACAAAGACGCAGAAGACCTAAACTATAAAGTCAGCCAATTCGACCTTGTGGATGTATTCTGAACACTACACCCAACTAAAACTGAATATACTTTTTTCTCAAGTGCACATGGTATATTCTCCAGAACTGATCACATATTAGGGCACAAGCAAGCCTCAACAAATTAATAAACACTGAAATAATATAAACTATCTCCTCAGATTACAATGTCATAAAGCTAGAAATTAACCACCAGAGGATAAAGCTTATAAAGCCACCAATGTGGAAGCTAAACAACACTCTGCTCAAACATGATTGGGTTATAGAAGAAATAAAGAATGAAATAAAGAAGTTCTTCAAAACAAATGATAATGAAAAAAATGTACTAAAACCACTGGAATATAGCTAAGGCAATCCTCAGGTAGAAGTTCATAGCAATAGGCAAACACATTAAAAAATTAAGAAAGAAGTAAAATTAATGATCTAATGCAATACCTTCATCAAATATAAAATAACCCAATAGCCTCTAGAAGAAAGAAATTGTAAGGACAAGTGCTGAAATCATTGAGAGGGAAAACAGAAAAATAATTGAAATCATCAATAAGACTAGGAGCTGGTTTTCAAAAGAGTCAATAAAATTGACAGACCACTGACAAACTTAACAAAAGGGGAAAAAGGAGAAAACATAAATAACTTGATTAAGAAATGATAGAGGTGACATCACAACAGAATCAGAGGAAATTAAATCTATATCAGAATACTATGAAAAAATATACTTGATAAATTTGAAACCTTACAAGAACAGGAGGTTGACGTGGTCAGATGTACAACACTTGAACAGACCCATTAAAAAACAGGAAATTGAACAAGTCATAAAAAGACTCCCTGACAAAAAATGTCCTGGATGAGATGGCGTTACAGCTGAATTCCACAAAACATTCAGAGATTTTTTTTCACCATTTCTACTTAAGCTATTTCAAAAATTAGAAAAAGAAGGAACACTCCCAGAGACAGTTTATGAAGTAAGCATAACCCTAATATTAAAATCAAGCAAAGATATTAACAAAAAAGAAAACTACAGAGCAATATCTCGCAAAAACATAGATGAAAAA